CATCATAGCTACTGGCCGGTTGGCTGGTCGGCTGATTGCTTAGGCTTTTATATATATAGAAGACATAGTTCAGAAGTTCAGGGAAAAGTAACTGGGTCTAGGGCAGTGATGGTGAACCTTTTGAGCTCGGCGTGTCAGCATTTTGAAAAACCCTAACTTAACTCTGGTGCCATGTCACATACAGAAATTTTTTGATATTTGCAACCATAGTAAAACAAAGATTTATATTTTTGATATTTACTTTATATATTTAAATGCCATTTAACAAAGAAAAATCAATCAAAAAAATGAGTTTGCATGTCACCTCTGACACGCGTGTCATAGGTTCACCATCACTGATCTAGGGCATACTCAATAAAATAATAACAAGAGCTTTGAAAAGCAAAGGCTCCTGATTCAAGATTGATGCAATGGGTTTACCACTATAGCTAACTGTCTCACATTTTAATTACTCAAAATTAACACAAACAGTATAGACTTTTATATTGCACTGACCAAAATTCTTCTAAAAACAGAAAATGAGCAGTGGGTCAATTCTGGAGCCCAGATTATAATTTATAGTAATTATGTAGTATGTTCCATGTAAGAAAGCAGTCCTTTGGTAAAAATTCTAATTCATTACTAATAATTCTTTCTTACATGTTTACCTTTTAGGATATAAACTGAAAATATTCATCTGCAAGGAAGGAATTAACTAGAAGTGCAGGAAAATGTGAAAAATGAACATCTGTGGTAGATGGAGGCAGTGGGGCTTTATGTCAAATAAAACCATACTGAGAGATGCTTTCCAATAGTATTAAAGTTTGTTATTTTGTCTTCAAAATTTTAACATACAAAACCCAACCTGTAAGTGCCTCAAAATAAGTAGAGTCTAATTGTGGGGTAATAAAACATAGATAGGTCTTGGAAGCACTGCTTTGTGGATAGCTATATAAAGAAAATACGGTGCATAATCATGGAAAGTGACTAATGACTAAAATTCCTGAAAGTGGGCTATATTTCCATATAGAATACTTTTTATTTGTGTATCTATATCTGTACTAAAATATTTGTAATAATTTTTTCAGGATGTTATTCCCATTTATGATTATAATATATATGTATGAGAGACCATAGGTTTCATCAATTTGTCAGTATAGTTCTCAAAGTCAGACACCATATATTGTTACATTTGTTTATGTACCCATTGTATCTAGAATAAATTACACTATAAGCCCTCAGAAGTGACAGAATGAGTTTTCTATTATTAGATTTTCTTAGATTCATTACAATTCCAGATTGTGGTACATAACTCACATTCCTCTACACTTCTGTAGTAAAATGTGCACAAAAACACTAGAGGAGAGATCTACCTAATATGTACAGGAAATTTAGAATACAGATATATCTTAGGTTAAAAATTCTATAATTACATGAACTGTTCCATAAGGTTCATAAAACACAGAGCAGTGATCATCACAATACAGAAACACAAAATATAATGCAGAGGAAAAATACAGGAAACACCTTATAAAAAGTTCCATGATCCTAATGAAATTTGAATGGGTTATTTAAAATATTTCAATTTCATTTTCTTTAAATGACAATGTAAATATGGCATAAAAACAGGAGAAATGAGAACATTTATAGAGCAAGATAATTACACAACACAACAAATCTTTACTATGGATAAAAGTTGATTATTTGTAGAGAAAAGCCAGCTAGGACATATATTTCAAAAGAAAGCCAAAGTTTTAAGGTTGTGAAAGATAGCCTGATGCTTTTGCTTGGGCCCAATACTGTGTAAGAGATCGCATTTCTGACAAATATAGTACCAGTGTTTTTCAACCAAGTGCTATTACAACATTTTCCAAAATCAATTAACTTAGAAATAGTTGGAAAGCACTTGTACCATTGAAATATTTAACACCATCTGAGGACATTCTCCTTCCGCAATAATCTAGACAGATTGGATTGAGAAAATATCCAGAATCAACAAATGTTTTAACCTTCAAAACTAATCAACATAAACCAACAAGAATCAGATAAGGAAAAAACTTACGTCCATCCCCCTAAGTAGTAATTCACACATCGAAGATTTGTACTTCATTACTTCCAGTCCACAGCCTCTCTTTAACTCCATCCCATATCCCTCTGAACCATATCATGCAAGCAACAGTGGTTCGGTGGCATTTTTAACCTCAACTAATAATTTACATCAGCCCCTAAAAATGAACAAACTAAACAAAGCAAAGCCCTTTATTGCAAAAGAAGCTTCAAGTCAAGAAGCCTGAGGACATCATTCCAAATAAGTTGCTGCCCCTTCCCCCTACTCAGTGCTTTGTTAAGAGTACAGTACAGTGGTAGAGGTATGGATGTGGAGGCAGCCTATACACACATTTGTAAATTTTGACAAGTGACAGAATATTAAAAAAATAATAATAAGGAAGCATTGGTTTAATGAAATAGGCAATCTCAAAATGTATATAGTTGATAGAAATTTAAATTAGTTCAACCATCCTGGAAGGCAATTTAACTAGAAGATCTGAAAACTTAAAAGTGTGTATACAATTTGACCAAGAAATTTAATTATGAATTGAATTTACTTAATATATTCTAGGAAAATAACAGCTTCAGTATGAAAAGATGTATGTACATGAACGTTTTCTACAGCAACATATATAATAGCAAAATATTGCAAAATTCCTAAATGTTTACTGATTAGTAAAATTAGTATGCTACAATCATACCATGAAATAACATGTAAACATTAAACAAACATTTTTTAAAATGATAAACAGTCACATTTACTTGGGTAGAAAAACATTCATGACAGGTTATTATGTAAAAATGCAGATCACCAAAACAGTAGAAAGAGAACAATCACATTTGCATTTTTAAAAATTTTAATCACATAATTAAGAGAAAACACCCTGAAATAATATACCCAAAAATGTTAAACAATTACTACCTCTAAGTGATGGGATTAAAGGTGATTATTCATTTCTTCTTTGTAAATTTATCTTCAGTTCATTACAATGAGCATTATTACTTTTACAAGCTGAAAATAAATGTTTTTTATATTTTGAGTAAAAAAAATTAATAGTAGTAAATCTACACAAAGAACACAGATAACTGATAGCTGATTATGTAAGTCCATGTATGGATTTGAATATACCTACTTATCTAATCTCAGCTCTATAAGTACATACCTTAAGTTTTGACTTTGAAAAATTAGCACGTCTTCTATGCAATTTGGACTTTTTTGGGATTTCAAAAGCAATGAGGGTATCTGTGCCATCCCAATACAACCAATATTGCTCCAAGATTGTACATTTTTTACTTTGTTTTGCAATTGTAACTAAATTACAATTTTGTGAATGTGTAGTGCTGTAACGGGCCTTGCCTTTTGAGTTCCTGCCACCTTCCCCACCCCCAAAAATACTGAACTACTTTTATAATAAACTGCCTGAAGTTCATAAGGAAAACCACAGCAGAATGACACTTCTTTAACATCTGCAGAAAGGAATAATTATCAGTGAAGGCCCCAGGAAGTGAGGGGGAAACATCACATAGAGTTATTTAGACAAGTTTGGCTATCTCTTCTTTCAAGTAGCTCCACCACAATATTACAAGAAAGATGAACCTGAATACACAGTAAGATAAGTTTTAAAATTATTTAAATTACATAAGGATTCATAATTTAGTAATTTAATACTGAACTTCATATTGAAGTTATAATATTTCGGTTTTATCCATTCAGATTAGAGTTACAGATGGCTATGGTATGCCAAACCAACTATAAGAATATTAAGACATGCCCTAGCTGGTTTGGCTCAGTGGATAGGGTGTCAGCCTGTGGACTAAAGGGTCCCAGGTTCAATTCCAGTCAAGGGCACATGCCAGGGTTGTGGGCCCAATCCCCAGTAGGGGGCGTGCAGGAGACCAATGATTCTCTCTCATCATTGATATTTCTATCTCT